ACCGACTGAAAAAAAAAAGAAAGAAAGCATGAGTGAACAGTTCAGTGCTCATATCTGGACCTGGGTGGGTTTCCAAGCCTGCTTTTAAGTACACACTAGTGACTCCAACCACAGGTGTTTGAGTGTGTTTTTAATAGCTCGTAACTGTGAGGTACCCATGCAGTCCCAGGCCTTCCCTACCACAGGGGCTGGGAATGGAAGAGTAATCAGGAAGAGGGTGACTTGCTTAATGGTGGGAAGACTGAGGGGTGACGTTTATTATGAAGAACATGGAGCACCCGCTGAGGAAGCAGTAAAAAAAACCTCTGAGAAGGTGATTTGCGGGGTCAAGAGGAGAAAGAAGGGGGGGCGGGCAGAGGGAACAGAACAGGGCACTTCCCACGGAAGTCTAGTGGTCAGTGCTGCAGAAGAGGCCAGCCTGGAACTACAGCCCCCGGGGTGACCTGCTCCGGCAAACTGGAAAGCCAGCAGACCACCTCCTTCCCTTGCCAATGGGGGTGAGAGGCCAGGAGCCAGGGGTCAGACCTGATGCCACCTGCCCCACCGCGGAGACCTGGTGGCCAATGCCCAGGGCTGTCACAACCCCTGTCCTCTTTCTGAGTCCACACAGCCCAGCCACAAGCCACCACACCAAGTCCGACTTACTCCAGCCACATTTCCTTCACCATGCAGCGTCTGATCAGATTGCTGTGAGATTTTTCATTTTCCTTAGTGCCAGGACTGGGGCTTGAACTCGGGGCCGGGCGCTGTCCCTGAGGGTGGTGGTTGTTTGTTCAACACTAGTGCTCTACCCTGGAGCCGCTGCTTCACTTCCAGCTTTACTGGTGATTACGTGGAGATGAGTCTCAGGGACTTTCCTGCCTGGCTTTGAACCCTGATCTTAGCCTCCTGAGCAGCAGAGATTAAAGGCAAGGATTACTGCGGAGTCATCCTAGCTATTTATCTTCAGTTAATTAACCTGGATCAGTTGAGCACAGTCGGGGCCAGCACCCCGCAGAGTCCTGGGGCAGCCCCCAGCCCAGCAGCCTGGCCTGGCCTAGCCACAGAGAAGCAGCCCTTCCCGTCCGGGCTCCCTAGGCCCCGCCCGCCCGTCCGCCCGCCAGCGGAGCCTGGTAGAGATCTACACGCCCGCAGAGCCCGGACAGCGACACCACAGGCCGCTGCTGGAACTGCAGTGCGCGGCGCCTCCCCCGCTTCCCAGCGCCTTCCCGGTTCTACGTACCTACCGCGCATGCTCCGTGCTGGGGTCGCGGCTCCCGGCCGGCCGCACCCCGCGCTGCTGCAGACCCTCGGGCTGCAGAGGCAGCTGGGCGGGGCGCGGAGGGCCCGGCGGCGCCGCCCCGTGTGCGAAGGATGCCGGGAAGCGGCCCAGGAGCCCGCGCTGGGTATGGTCTAGGAAAGGCTGCCCTGGTGACCACCTTCCCCCCCCCCAGCCCCCCAACTCCTCCCCACCCCACCCCCCACCTCGGCTGCAGTGGAGAAAAGCGTGTCAGAGGCTGGCAGTGACCAAAAGATGCGCGGTGAGGGCGCGGATCCCTGCGTGCCAGGATTTGAAGAGTGACGGTCCAGGGCCAGGGCCTCGTGTATGTCATGTGTAGCGACCCTGGGGACAAGAGTGACGGTCCAGGGCCTCGAGTATGTCATGTCATGTGTAGCGACCCTGGGGACGACAGGCCTTTGTTTTTAATTTTTGCCAGTCCTGGGGCTTGAGGCGCTGTCCCTGAGCCTCTCTGTGCTCAAGGCTGCTGTGCTACCACTTGAGCCACAGCACCACTTCTGGCTTTTTCTGAGTAGCTTATTGGAGATAAGTCTCACGGACTTTCCTGCCTGGGCTGGCTTCGAACCGTTATCCTCACATCTCAGCCTCCGGAGTAGCTAGGATTTGCAGGCGTGAGCCACTGACACCAGGCCCCAAAGACTTCTTCTTGTGTAGATGAGCAAACAAGGGCTCCAAGAAGTTACTAAGAATTTCTGGAATATTTTTTAAAGTGGTCCTTATGCCAAGACCCAACAGGATGACTTTTTTTTTTTTCTTTTAAACCGGGGCTTGAGCTCAGGGACCTTTTGATCATTGAGCTCACTTGCTCAAGACTGCTGCTCGGCCACGTGAGCCAAATCTCCAGCTTAGTTTCTTGCTGGTAACTGAAGATGAGACACTGCCCCAGACTGCTTTCAAACCTCAAGGAGGCTTACAGGTGTAAGCTGGCACCCAGCTGGTTTATACATAGTTTCAAAGGGTCTGAGATTTACAGTCTGTATCTCTGAGCACTACAGGAAGATCCCAGACCTGGGTACATGAAATCCAGTGAGGGTTTGGTCAAGCCTAATAAGAGTGCTAAAAGCAAAGAGAAAAAAATGAATCAGTGTTGTACAGAAGGCTGTGCCCAACGAGAGGCCAATCCCTTGTAAATGGCCCTGTCGACCTTCCTCTGGGTCTCAGAGTGCCTGACACAGTTCACATAGTTCGTTTTTCATTTGTGTTGTTTCTTTTTTTTCTCGGAGCTTGAACCCAGGGCACGGTCCCTGATATTTTGTTCTCAAGGTTAGCACTCTACCAGTTGAGCCACATCTCCACGTCCAGCTTTTTGATAGTTAATTGGGGATAAGAGTGTGGCAGACTTTCCTGCCCAGGCTGGCACCAAACAGCAATGGTGATCCTCGTATCTCAACCTCCAGAGTTGCTAGGATCCCAGGTGTGAGCCACTGGTGCCTAGCAGATCAGGTTTTAGTTGTACAGAGAAGACAACTGCTTTCCTTCTCATGCCCAGCTCCTGACCTCTTCAGGGCAGTTGCACATACGCCTCTCTCTGCTGAGAAAGCTCTTTTTCTCTTCATGTCTTAGAGCTTATCATCAGGGACTAGGGTTTATTTGGCTGGCTTGCGCAGATGGCACTATACCACTTGAACCACACTTCCAGCCTGGATTTTTGCTGGATATTTTGCAGATGGAGTCTTTGGAACTTTTTTTTTTTTGGCCATGGGGCTCGAACTCTGGGCCTGGGCGCTGTCCCTCAGCTCTTCAACTCAAGGTGAGCACAACGTCAAGCACCACTTGAGCCACAGCACCACTTCTGGTTTTCTGGTTTCTTGGAGATAAGAGTCTCACGGACTTTCCTGCCTGAGCTGGCTTTGAACCTCAATCTTCAGATCTCAGCCTCCTGAGTACCTAGGGTGATAGGGGTGAGCCACTGGTGGCAGGCTATATTTTTCCCAATTTCCAATCACCTCAGTCATTTCTTGTTTGTCATTTTTGTTTTTTGGCTGTAAAACCCCACGCTTGGCCTCGGTCTTGGATGCCAGCTTCTCCTCATGTATCCATCTTCACAAGGTTTCTTTCTATCTCTCCTCTTCTTCCAAAGACACTTGCTGCTTGTTAATTTCATTACATCTGATCCTGAACACTTACTTCCCAGCAAGGTCACATCTACAAGTACCAGGTGACAGGGCTTGGACAGCACCTTCTGGAGAATGCAATTCCAACCATGGAACACCAAAGGGAGAATGTGGGTAAGTGATGACGGGAATGAAGATGTGAACAGCAGCTGGAAGCCTGGAAGTGGGGGCGAGGGGGTCCGTATTGTTGGACAAATCATCCCTTCTTCAAAACCACACTCCAACCTTAATGGTTCCTTCAAGAACCATTTGGATCCCAGCACGGCCCCTTTCTAGCTTGAAACAATGTTTCCAGACTCTCTGCAGCCTATGGGATCTAATAGTTGCATTTGGGCTTCTGAGAACTAGACCGTATTTTAGTCCCTTTTAGTATGTCGGAGACTGTGGCAACTAGCTACACCTGCTTTCCTAAACATAGACAGTCACTTGGAAGCGAAGGCCTACGATTTCGTTCGCTGTTTTGCGGATACCAGGGTGTGAACTCAGGACCTCGGGCTTTCTCAGCCTCTTGAGCCAGTTCTTGTTGGTTATGGTGGGGATGGCGTGGCTCACGCTTTTCTGCCTGGTTTGACTTCACACACCAGGCCTTTGGCTCTCAGCTCCCTAAGGTACTTAGGATTGTGGGTCTGAGCCCCCAACACCTGACTTGAGGAAGGCCCTGAGGCGGACTGACCTTACAGGAGACACCGAGGTTGGGGTGGAGGGCCAGGCTTGCAGCTCCTACCCCGATCCCCTCCTGCACCTGCTCCAGCTCGGATGGCGGGGAACTTTTAGACCACGCTCGGCTCGTTTTCTACCAGCGCTGAGCTACGCCACGAACGGGATCAGAGCTGCAGGACGTTCACAGACTCCTGACTCAGTTTCCCTCAAGCACAAGGCCCCCAGGCTAGAACCCGGCCGGCCCCACGCTGGTGGGAGGAGGGGGCTTGGAACTCTCCGCACCTCTACTTTTCCTACTCGCTTCCCTCACCTCGGGCAGAGCTCAAGGTTCCCCCATCTGGAGGTCCACACGGACATGCCCTGCCCAGCTCCGATCTTTCTAGACCACCACCACCAGAAGAGGGTGAGGCGTCCCGGGAGGTCGGTGGCTGGCCCTCGGCCCTGCGCCCCGGGCTAGCACCCTGCCAACGGTTCCCCCAAAACGGAGCTGGGGAGGGGGGCACGGCCCAGTCGCACAAGCCCCGGTGGGCGGCTCGGACTCCACCGGGGAAACCAAAGACTAGGCCCAAGGTCTCGACAGGAGATTCGAACTCAGGGCCAGCTCCAGCGAGGAGGGGGCATTCGAGGGTCCGAGCTTCCACTCACCGCGGCAGGGCGTGCGGGCGCCTGTGCGGGAGCCGGGGCGGGGCGGCGGGGGCCAGGACGAGTTCTCAGGTTGCAGACGGGCCGTCCGGGCTCTCGGCTGTGGGCGCCGCGCGCCGGGTCCCCGCGCTCGGCCCGGCGGGCGCCCGGCGCGGAGCAGGCGCAGCCGCAGGGCCCCGGGCGCCGGCGGGGCCGCTGCAGCCGCGCGGCAGTGCGCAGGCGCGCGGCGGCCGGCTCCGCCCCGCCCCCTCCGGTAGGGACCTACCGCGAGCTCGGCGCGGGCGGCGGGTGCGGCGGACGCCCCTCGGCGGGACCGGCGGATCGCGGGCTCGCCGGCCCGGCGCGGTGAGTGCGGGCTCGGGCTGGGGAGGCAAAGTGCCGGGGGGGGGGGGGGGATCCGGGGTCCCCGCCTCCAGGTCCGCCGGCCCGGGGCGGCCCCGCGGGGCTGGGCGCGGCCGGGGTGGGACGGGGGGGGGGGGGGGGCGCGGGGCCGCGTGGGTGCGGGGCCGGGCGGGGAGCCTCCCCCCCCCCCCCGCCAGCGCCGGGCGGGGTCCCCGGGGCGCGGGGCCCGGGCGGGGCCGCGGTGACAGGCCGCGGGGCGCGGCGGAGGGCGGAGGGCGGAGGGCGGAGGGCGGGTCGCGGCCCCCGCGCGCGCGCGCAGCCTTTGTGCGGGCGCAGGGCGCGGGGGGCCGGGCGCGGGGGCCGGGGTGCGCGGCCGCCGGCTCGGCCGGTCCCCGCACCCCCACCCCCCGCGTTTCGAACGTTGCCGGGCCCCGCGGTCCCCGCCGGCGGCGGCGGGCAGGAAGTGTCGTCAGGAGGCCATTTTTAAAGCCTCCTGCGGGCCCGGGCGGCCGGCGCCGCGGCCGCTTCCCGGCTCCCCGGGGCGGAGGACGCGAGGGGCCCCGCGGGGACCGGGCAGGCGGACGGACGGATGGACGGATGGACGGACGGACGGACGGACGGACTCCGGGACGCGACGGCCTCCCCTCCCCCCCCCCCCCCTCCGCCGGCTGCGTCCCGGGCCAACAATAAACTTACAACCCAGACGGGCATTGTCCTTCCCGGGAGAGCCGGGGCGGGGGTCCGGGCGCCGGCCCACCGCGGGGGGGGGGGGGGGCAGAGGCTTCGATTGTTCCCGAGGCCCGTGTCCCCTCCGGAGGGACCGGCCATCCTGCCCTCCCCATCCCGTTGTCTGAGGTCTGGAGGGCAGGGTAAGGCCGGGGAGGGGAGGGGGAGACACACGAAGGAATACACATTTCTTAACCCAAAAGGGAGGAGGGGGACCGCACCCCCCCCACGCCCCCATCTGTCCGCAGAGGCCGAGACTCTTTCATGACAAACCAGGATCTTGAACCATTTAGGCCAAGAGCATGTGGCCGCCTGGCAAGTGGCTTTGTCTGGAGTCACACCCGAGGGCAGCCCGTCGGGAGGCCGACAGCGTTGCCCCTGGAGTTCAGAATTGAAGTCAGCTCGGGAGAAAACCAAGCAGCAGCTGCTTGTCCTGGGCCGGGATCCAGGTGACCCCTCCCTCCCAGGCACACGCGAGTTCAACACCAGCCTTGGCCTGCCCGCCGCTGCGGGGTGGAGGTGCTGTGGGTGGCAAGGCCTGGAACTTCTAAGAATGCCACATTCAAGCTTTCGAATTGCATCCTGTTCCTCATCGTTAGGACGAGCTTAAAAATTGTTTTTTGTTTTTTTTGTTTTGTGTCTAGGTACATACATATACCTGTTAATATGCGTATTGTCGAGTGTCCAGTTCAGAAATGATCCATCTTTATTATGCCAATGACACCTTAGTTGTGAAATTTCCAAAGAGCTTTGCTCTGCTTATTGGGTTTTTTTCTGATGTATTTTGCTAATGTAATTTTTTTTTAATCTAGTAATGCCATCTTAGAAAAACAAAAAAAATCCCTCCTGATCCTATACCTTGTAAGAGGATCGGAGCCCTGTGTGTGCAAGAGGAAGGACAAAGAAAAGCCTTATTAGTGTCGCTCTAAGGCCACCATTTCTTCACTCACTGTGCCAAGGACATTGAGTGCCTTTCATGGTCTGTCTGGTGGTCATCATAACCGGGGACTTCGCCATTGCACATCACCCCAGTCTTCGTTATTCCCAAACTGCCTGCTGTCCTCTCCGTTCAGCCGTTCACACATGCCAGCTCAGCCCACTACAGCGTGTGGGAAAGCAGGTAGAGCTCACCAAATACATCACGGGGTGGCACGGAGAGACGCAGGAATCACTAGGGAAGAATTTTAAACCATTCAGCCTACACCCATCCTATGTAGATGGGAACCATCTGATTCATTGGGTCATTTGTATCCTGAGAATCTTTTTTTAATTTTATTTTATTTAATCATTCAGGAGGACAGCACCTGAGAAACATGTCTTGGACTCACTTTCTTACAGAAGAAGTATGTCCAAGAAAGCACACCTGTGCCGATCCAGGACTTAAACCCAAGTGTCTGGCTTCGGTTGCCGGCCTCTGCATCCTGGGGTTTTGAGCCCAACCATCTATGCTGGGGCCTAAGTCCTGAGACTGGCATGCCCTGAGCGCCAGAGAAGAGAAGGCCTGAAAGAGGAAGACAGAGCCCAGGAGAATTGCCACAGCTGACTCGCATCTACAACCCCAAGGCTCTGAGCAGGAGGAACGTACTGAGAGAGACCCGAGACTTTGATGAACTGTCCCACAATACACACAGCACAGGTTAGACTGGACTGAGGTCCTAGCACTGGCTTTTGCCGCTCTCCAAGTCCCTGTGACTTCAAAAAGCCAAATACTTCCTCCAGACCTATTATCTTAAAAGAAGCAGGTAATTGCCACCAGCTAGGGCAAAGGGGCTCCGGCATGGACAGACAGAGCCTCCTTGAGCACCCTGGTTAGCTGCGGTGGGTGTCTTCCTAGGTCACACTCATTAGGTTTTGGGTGGGGGTGGGAGTGGGGGAATTGAGGCTTGAGTAGCATCATTCCAAAGAAAGCTCTAGGCAATGCCAGTGTCTTGTAAGATAAACTGCTCTTCAGAGCCTTCTACACTTCTGGACCACGTCCTGACAAGCGAGGGTCATCGTAGTGCAGCTGCAGCTAAGGACCTGAGGTGTAGGGGAGGGTTTTCTTGTGGTGGGTTTTGGTCAGGGAAGGAACTAAATATCTGCCACTTTGGCCCCTGACTAGAATTCTTACCAACTGAGCCAGGCCTCTAGCTCCACCCTCTCCCTCTCTATTTCTCCCACGGACTTTTGACAAATCCCCTTGCCCTTCATTTTTAGTGCCTGAGGGATCTGAAATCACTGGTATTCGAAAAAAAAAACAAAACCAATTTTGTAGTTTTGCTGGGCACACTCCTTGTATTCTAATAAGCTTCTTAACATTGTCTTCCACATACAAAACCTGGAAGTTTTTTAACATCTAGGACTCCTAGCACTGGCCTAAGTCTTGTCTTTTGGAGGCTTTCTAAATCCTTGGGAGCGTTGAAAGCCTATAAAATCCCTTCCTTTGTTTGGGGAAGTAGACTCCACTGATAGGCCTCCCGCCAGTCACAGAACCCTGGGAGGAGGAAGGCTCCAGAGTTCTGAGCCTCAGGGCACCTCCTGCAGGTTTTTCGTTTTTCTGTGGATTTTACCTGGGGGGGAGGGACGTGGGAGTGTGCTGGCTTCTTTTTTGACAGAACATCTAGTCTTTGCCACACAGCTGCCCATCCATCGTTTTTCCTCGTTCACTCTCATGTCAGCGGAGTCAGCCATCATTCTTACTTTCCTGGTGAGAAAACTCAGGCTCTTTAGGTCAGAAGTCTGAATGGACACCGTCAGCCAGAGCACTAGGTTTTGAGCGTTGTTCCTTGTTTCCCAAGGTCCTTTTTTCCAGTCACTGCCGTGCCTGGCCGCTTGGCTCTCCGCCTCCCTCTTTCCCCCATGCAGTTGCTCCAGTCCCATACTTGGCTTCTGAGAGAAAAGTACATTTCCAAGCCACCGTGAAAACGATTTATTGTTATCAAACTGTCCCTCAATTCGCAGTCAGTCATTTGTGAGTGTAAGGTAGTTTGTTTAGGCATTTCTCTGGACAGACTCCTGTTCAAATCCATTTACCCCCATCCTATTCAATTCGGATTTGTGAAACTGCAGAAGCTTTTGCTTGAACTCAGGCCTAGGCTCTGTGCCTGAGCCTCTCTGTGCTCAGTGCTAACGCTCTACCACTTGAGTCATAGTGCCACTTGCCACACATTTTTTTTTTTTTGAGTAGTTTATTAGAGATAAAGGGTCTCAAGGACTTTCCTGCCGAGACTGGCTTTGAACCACCTTCTTCAGCTCTCAGCCTCCTGAGTAGTTAGGGTTACAGTTGTGAACCACTGACACCAGCACCAGCTGAGGCTGCCTTCTTAAAGACTCTGCTGGGACTTGTGCCCAGGTCTCAGGTCTCACTTTTCTACAGGCTGCTGAGTGGTTCACTGTGGTTGAATTATATTCAAATTTGGATCGCTAGGAAAGCCAATGAAGACAAGGCTGTTACGGCTTAGTAGATGAAAATAATAGTGGATATAATTTTTGAGTAGCTGTGCCATGGCTTAACACCTTCCAGGCCTTATTTTCTCATAATGACCCATTAATAATAGCTTGTTAATAGCTTGATAATAGTTTGTTGTGGCCTTACTACAAAAGATCTGACAAATGAGGGGTGGAACTGCAAATCTGGGAGCCCTTTTTTTTCTTTAGTGCCAGTACTGGGTTTTGTACATGGGGCCTGCACTCTGTCCCTTAGCTTTTTTGCTCAAGATTGGTGCTCAGCTACTTGAGCCACACAGCTCCATTTCCAGTTTTTGGCTGGTTAGTTGGAGATAAGAGTCTCATAGACTCTCCTGCCTGAGTTGGTCTGGAACCGCAGTCCTCAGATCTCAGCCTCCCAAGTAGCTAGGATTACAGGTGGGAGCTGCAGGGGCTGTAGTCACATTCTTGCTCCAGCCATGTGTGTGAGGAGCCACTGTGGAAGGATTTTCAGGTCACTGTGTGCCTGCATACACTAGTACCATCCGTGGTCCCATCTCCAGAGGCTTTGGCTGGCCAGTTACATCCGAGTTTGTGCAAAAGCCATGTGCTTTGGCCAACTACTTCTCTTCCCTTTCATGTTGACATCTAGCACAGTGGAACCATTTCACAGTGTGGCCGAACTTCAGGAGAAGAGGGTGAGGAGAAAGTGACTAGCTGACACTTGAACCTCAACTTCAGTGAGTTCCTCCTCCCCCAGCCCCCACCACTTTAGTGGTACTTTTCCCACAGTAATTATAAGCAGCTCGGAACCTTTGCCACTCAAGCCAGGTTCTTTTGGCCCCATGGCGAAATCACTTCTAGGCATTACAACCGAGTGAATACAGTGGCACAATGAGATCCAGTTTGTGTACTGGAAAGGCAGTTGTCAGACAACTAAGAAGCCTGTGTCTTGCCACCTCTGATTATTTGAGTGGTTGACATTGTTTTGTCATTCAAAATGGGAAATAAGTTATTTAACAACTTAGGATGTTTCAGTAGCTCATCTGAATTTAGTTTTCACAGTGACCTCTGGGTAAACACTGTCACTGAGGTCTACAAGGAGGAAGCTAGTTTGTCAGCTTACCCCCCAAGGTGAGGGACTGCTGGGACGAGCTTTAAATATGACAGCACCACTGTTGGACATCCGTCATTTCCCGTATGTAGAAGTCAGAGGCTTCCTTTTCAAGGAGAGCTCAAGCAGCCCTTTGTGTTTCCATAGCCTTAGGTACCACGGAACTGGCTGCTTCTTTTCCCCATCCGCCCTCACGGTGTTTAAGGAATGAGGCAAGCGCAGAACACCAGTTGCTCGTGCCTGGCATAGTAGCAACTTGAGAGACAGATGAGGAAGATCCAGATTTGAAGCCAGACTGGGCAAAAAGTGAGAAAGGATCCTGGATGTGTGTGTGTATGCACCCGTCATTCCAGCTAGGAAGAAAGCCTGCCTGGGCCTAGATGTAAGACCCTATTTTAAAAATAACTAAAGCTCAAACGATTGAGATACAGCTCAAATGCTAGAGTGCCTGCCCAGCAAAGCTCTGAGTTCAAACTCCATTGCCCTCCCAAACCAATCAACCAGTGAAGGCAAGTGAGCTCAGAATGTAAAAGAAATCCCAGAGGTCCCTGCAGGTGGGCCTCCCTGGCTCTCCCTTGGAGGAAAGACCACCCAGTGGAAGGTCAGGCTTGTGACCGCATGCTGCCTCTCCGTGGCCACCTCTCCTGGCTTCTGTATCCTTGAAGCCCTCCTAAGTTACCTGAAAGAAACAAAATGCTTCTAGGCTTGGTGCACGGCCAGGCTTTTGTGCCGGCTCTACATTCGGAAGGTAGGAAGATGCTGGCACTGGTGCCATCCGTGGGCTCTTTCCACATCAAGCACAGCTCTGTCTGGCAAACCAACGTGGGGGTATCGTGCAGGGAGTAGGGACCTGGCAGCTCTTGGGCTGATAACACCAGGGCTGACTCCTTGCAGGACTCAGATGTAAAAAGTTCCAGTGTCAAAGCTGTCCTCTTTCCATCCTGTGCTTCCCTGTGCCTTTGTCTCACGAGTTTCTTTTCCCCCTACAAAGAGCCATACAGACTGCAGAGATCAAGAGAGCTCACATCTTTTCTGCTGAGGGAAGCGGCCGTGTGGTAGCATTGCAATTGTTTGAGAAGTGGAGAAGATGGTGTTGGGCAGGGATCACCTGCTCCCTTGTGGCTCCATGTCCCACTTCCCCATGGAACTGTGTCTCATCACAGCCTCGTGTTTTGTGCTGGTACTTGGCTCCTGTGGGTTCTCCATTGAGAATACAGATGGTTTCCAGGTTAAGATGGTTCTTAGACTCTTGTGACTTTATCCTGGTGTAAATGCAGTAGGCATTCAGTGAAATCTATCCTTGTGGGGTCTTTTTCTCCCATGTTGAATTTTGCTCTTTTCTTAGGTAAAGTACTACAGGGTACATTCAGCCGTGAGATCACGAGCACAATCAATGTTGAAGTCAATAAATTACCTGAGATACTCAGCATTTTATAATTAGGCTTCAGATGGACTAGATAGGTTTCCCCCCGCCCCCCACTCTAGACTCTCAGAAGGATTCTGAGCCTGTTTGATGATGGCGAGGTGCTCTAGGCTGGTACATTACATGCGAACTGGAGGTGGTTTCAGTTAGCAGTGGGTCGTGACCCTGTGCTGAGTTAGGCACGTGTGTAACTGCTTAGGTGGTTATGCAGAGGCTTCTCCAACAGGACCATGTTCCTCGGCCATTCTGGCTGAGGACTTGGCAGAGGACTCTCCTCCAGTGTTCTCCACTTCTTGCCAATCATGCCTTCAGTCTATTTAAAGTTTTAGAAGCAGTGACACACTTCTGAGTTTCAGAAGGACTAGAGAGAAATTGCAAGGCATTTTTTTCTAGAATTCTGAAGCATCGTGAAGGCTGGGAAGATGACGGATACTGGCAGATGTAGTGCAGGTTCATTGTGAATACTGTCACGTCGGGTCTTGAGGAGTAGAACGACTATATGTTCAGTTATGTTGATAGCATGGTTGTGCTGGGGCATGTAATGCCTTCTTTGTCCTTCACCTTTATGTGTCCCTTCTCTTTCCATCTTTCCATCTAAATTAAAGGACTACAATGTACATATTGATGTGTATGCAAATCTTTGGGCTAGAATTGAGAGCCTTGATCAGATTAGAGAAGCAATGTGCAAATTAATCACTGGCCTGTTGAGTGGGTATGATGTCCCTAACTCCAGTCCAGGTAGAATGAAGTAATAGGGGAGTCCATTTCAATTTCTTTCATGGGTACATAATTGACAGTGAAAACTATGGTAAAATGGTGCCTAATGAGGAAGGAAGCAATTTGGTATTTAGAGCAGCTATCGTGATTAGTTGATGGAGTGACTTACGGACTCAGGTGTCCCAGGGAGCTTTAAGTGATTTCCAGTACTAAGGACAACCTGAAGTTCTTACAAACCCCGGGGGCTCTTCCTCTTCCTTTACAGCAGCCATGTCTGTTTTAGCAGTGATTCTGAGGCTCATCTGGATTCAGAATCGTTAGACTGATTCCCTGAATTCAGCCTCCATGTTTTTGGGGCCTGTGGTTTTCTTGGGTCCTGGTTGCTGCTGAGGCCTTGGGCTGGGAGACGATGTGAACGCAGGGAGGCTCGTGATGACAAAGTCTGTGCCTTGAAGCATCCCCACTGTCAGACTGGGCTTGGAAACCATCTCGCCCAGACCCGAGTTCCAGATGAGTGGGCATGCAGATGAATGGCTTGCTTGTGACATCGCTTGGTGAAAGGCAGGAGTTTGAGATGTCATTTCTGTCTTCCTTTTCTAAAACTAGCTTACAAATTCAGGAATAAAGTATACCTCTGCCTTTCCTAGTGGCTCCTGGCAGTGTCTACCAGCTGTCTATCAGGAGTGTAGACATAGCGGTTGTAGGCAGACCTGTGCCTTTTGTCCCTCTAGGTGCTATAGAGCAGAGGTCCAAACACAGACTAGCCCCACCCCTAAATACAAGGCCTGACAGGCTGGAAGTGCGTGTGTGAGAGGAAGTCATACATCTGGGTAGTAGAACAAAAAGCCCTTGGCTTCCTTCATGTGTTGCCATTTCGAAGCATCCCTGTGTTCTGTGCTGACTTACAGCCCCTGCCTCATGCAGGTCCGGGCTTGAACATGGAGTGGAGTGCCTGGGTCTTTTCTGCTTATCCTGGGTGTGAGGGGGCAGGTGTGGTCCCGCAGGCCTGCTGCGAGTCGCTCAGTGCAGTCAGGGTCTGATTGCAAGCTGGAATTGCTTTTCAGAGAAGGTAACTAGCTTTCTCCAATGTCGGATAGAAGAGGTTGTCCTCTAGTAGAGGTTCTTTGGTTGCTTTTCAGAATTGCCAGATTTGAATGCAGTAATTGTTTCTTCTGACCCTTTGGGGGGCCTTTCTGCTCCCCTAAGCTGGCCTTTACACTGGCTTTGTGTGGTTCTTAGCCTGACATTCCTGAGACAAAAGGAAGCCTGGGTCCCAACCATTCATGGCCTAACCACTGCTGTTTTGTCCTTTTAGACTCCTGTTCTTTTGTAGAGGCCAGAGGCTGTTGCTAGAGTATAAACCAGGCCATGTTCTGCCAGCGACTGGGTCTCCTGCCCAGCCCTCTGTCTCAGGAGAGGAAAGGCCACATTGCTGTGATACTGCTCATCTTTCCCTTGGCTATTCTCCCCTTCCCTTCTGATCATGTCTGCAGCCTCCACTCCAACTCCTTGCTCAGCCCTCATGAGCCAGGGCCGCCGCCCGCAGACCTTGGCCTTCTCTGCTTGAACTCCTTAGGACTCACTTCCTGGACCCCAGAGTCTACGTAGATGTGACTCACCTCGCAGAAGCCTTTCCTGGCTGCTCTGTGACTTCCTAACATGCAGCATTCCTTACCCTCCACCTCTGCTTTACGGTGCTTCTCCAATTTACAACTGAATACATAATAATCTTCCTGTCATGGTGTATGCATCTGAAGGGTAGGAACTGGCTCCTTTTGAGCACTATCCTCCAGCAACTGGAAGCGATTGATAGATGCTCAATACGATCGTGAAGGAATTATTTGTCTTGGGCAATATTTTTATCATTGGCTTTAGTTGCCACCTGTGAAAGCAAACTGAGCGGGTGAGAGTTGACATCAGAGCTAACCCTAAGTCGTGATGGAGATGCAGTATAAACACCTGTGGCAGGGAGCACTGCTCTACCACTTAGTACCTGGGCATGAGTCAGAATCTGAACTGGCCATGTCGTGTGTAAGGTTTGTGAGGCTCATAGGAACGCGTACCTGTGACGTTGCTGGATGTGCTCATGAATACTCAAAACGTAGCTTTTACTGATCAGAGGCTGTTCTGAGTGCCTGCCACTGCTGTCCTTTTTTTTGGAGGGGGGGGAGTGTCCTTCTATTCAGGGCTGGCCAAAGGAGTGATTTGTAAGGAGCTGCGTTTTTAATTTAAGCTGGCCTGTTTGGTTGTAGTGTGGCTGTAACACGCGTTTATGATCTGTGTTGGAATCCTCATACCGTGGAAATGTAGGGTGAGTTTAGTAATAGCTTAACCATCAAGTTCTTAAAACTAACCATCTTTCTGGTTCTCCTCTCCCATAGTATTGCCTGGAACAGCAGAGGGCTGGAGGCAGCCTCATTGGCAGCCAGATACAAAAAATGGTGCCTGAGTGTTTACCCAGGAAGTGTCTGCTGCTCCTCCACCTGTCACAAAATACATCCAAGGATACCTCCAGAGAACTGCGTCCTGTGCAATCTTGGTGAGTTCCAGGCAGCTCTTTCTGGAAATGCAGATAAAGAAAATGAAGGACATTGGGGAACAGCTGTACACCACCCCGATGAATGGTGGACCCAGTTCCTTGACCATGTCACCCAAACAACCAAACTCCAACCGAGCAACTCGGCCGGATCGGCAGGAAGCACAGAGCCTTTTGTATCAAGGCTCAGAGGCAGAGGCTGCACTGATGACCATCGCCACGTGTGAGCAGTGCAAAAGCATTGAGAAAATCCCACTTCAGGATTTGAAGAAGGGCGCTGGGCCAGGCCAAAAGGAAGACAAGTACCTCTGCTTCAAATGCAGCCTGCACGCAGCCCCTCCCCAATTCCATTTCCTCAGCGGCGATCCCAGCGCCGCCCATGTCGGAAATAAAACCGAAACCATCTCCAGCCCAGTCAATAACAAATTCAAGGTCAGGAACTTTAAGCCAGGGAAATTCTACTGTGACAAATGTCGGTTTTCCACGAAGGACCCCCTGCAGTACAAAAAGCACACGCTTCAACACGAAGAGATCAAATTCATTTGTTCGCACTGCAGCTACATTTCCTACACAAAAGGCGAGTTTCAGAGGCATCTGGTGAAGCATACAGGAATATTCCCCTACCGGTGTGAGTATTGCGACTACGGGGCCATTCGAAATGACTACATCGTCAAGCACCGGCGGCGCGTGCACGAGAGGGCCGGCGCCAAGCGGCCCCTCAAGGCTGTGGCCAAGCTGGAGCCCAAGAGAACCAGTGTCGCCAGACAAAACACCGACTTTCTAAAGGCTCCTGGTCCCAGGACGACATTTCACAGTAAGCTGTCGAGTCAGCTCTCCAAGTTCTCCCTCCACACAAATAAAGACAAAGCACGCAATGTTGTGTTGTTACCAGAGTCAAGGGAGTACCAAAAAGACGTAGTGTGCATCCCGAATAAAATGACCTTCCCCGAGCCCAGTGAGGTGAGTCTGTTGGGGAACAAAAACGTGGAGGTGGAGGTGTTGTCTCCCTCCAAAGAGCTCGTGCAGCCTGGGGTGCCCCTGACCGTGGTGGCCCCGGCGGAGCTGGTGGTCCCCACGAACTGCCTGGCCCAGTTGATCGACGTGAAGGTCGTCAACGGCACCCAGCAGCTGGTTCTGAAACTCTTCCCACTGGAAGAAAACCCGCGCCTCGAAGCCGCCAGAGGTGACGGAGCGGACCCCGAGCCCGTGGCTACAGACAGGGGCCCAAGCAAGCCAGGACAGCTACTTCCTGCAGAGAGCACCAAGGCCCCGAGGATCGAAGGGAACCCCCGGGAGCTGGGGAGCATGGAGAATCTGCAGTCCTCGGTCCAGAAACACCTTCGGAACGTGAAGTGGCTGAGGTCTTACGATTTCCTCATGCCAAATTCCAGCGTGGACAACCACAGACAACCCTTCCTCAGTTCCAGTTCTAGTAGGGATCTGCAGAAGAAGCTGGCGTTGCATCCGTATAGGCCTGCGCTTCCTTCTGCGGCCCTCAAAGGACCTTCTCCGGCCTCTGTAGGAAAAATCAGTGCTGTGTGTGGCCTTGGAGCCCCATCAAACCCTGTTCCGTGTAAATCCTCCCTCTCTTTTGCAGATGGTGGCAGGACTTTACACAGCGACTCACAGCAATTGCTGCCCCTTGCTGTAGCACCTGCAGCCATTCCCACCCCTGGAGAAAAGAGCTTTGAATCTGTAAGTCAGATGAGTGAATCTAGAAGTCAGATGCTGTCCTCTGGTAGGAAGCCAGGGAATAACCAGATGGAGGGAAGCGACGAGATGTCCGCTGTGCACCAGAGTTCCTCACCGTGTAAAAGTGAGTATTTACACATAAACCTAACGGCAGAAGATAAGGCGAGGGCTGAGCAGCCTGGGGATAAGCCTGTGCAACCCAAGGATTCTGAAAGGACTAATAACACTTTCGACGGCCCGGTCATCTCGTCAGTCTTTTCTCTGAGCTCTGGATCTGAGAATGTTCCAGACGGCGTTAAGTGGAACAGTGCCACATCCAAAATAAAGTCAATCGAACTGTTGCGCAAAAAGATCGCTCAGCTCATTGAATCTTGTGGCAAGCCTTCGTCGCTGTCGACGAGCAGTGCGCTTCGCCGGTCCACGGGGCAGGCTTCGAGGGGAACTTCCAAAGCCCTCTCCCCGGAAGGTATTGAGGACATTCATGTGTCCCTTGCGGGCTCTGATCCTTCCACGGGTCCTCTCTCCAAACCTCAGGATGAGCCTGCTGGCACCGGACAGCTGCAGCCAGTCTACCCGCAGTGCACCGCAGGCAGCGATGGGAAAAGCAACAGCAGAGTGACCAGGAAGGCTCATGTCGCCACGCCAGTGCTGATCCCCAAGGGAGCTGTGTTGAGGGTTCTGAACTCCTCCGAGGACGCCCAGATCATAGAAGCCACCTGCGACACCCCTGTCAGCATACCTTGCAGCGAGGCGCAGTTACCGCAGCCGGTTCCGTTCTGCCCTGGGATGCAGATCGACTCCGGCCTGCAGCCTTTAGTGAATGAAAGTGAGCCAAGAAACATGTCCCCAAGTTTGGAGACATGTTTTCGGGCTAAACCAAGAAAAGAGGATGCCCTCTGTAGCCCCACCCCTAAGAAGATCGCCCCTGCGCAGGGACTGCACGGAGGCAGTGAGTGGAGAAAGCAACGGAGACTGCTCTCCAGAAGTCTGACCATCAGCAGGAGCAAGGCCAAGCACGTCAACTCATCCAAGAAGAGAAGCAAGATCCAGGCCGAGCCCAGTCGCTGCCTTAAGGAGCCTTCCATCTTCCAGGTTTCAAGACAGCTCCGACTGGTAGCTGCCAAGCCTGACCAGCTGATTAAGTGTCCCCGGCGCAACCAGCCAGTCATCGTGTTAAATCATCCTGACGTGGATTCCCCAGAAGTGACCAATGTCATGAAGGTGATCAATAAGTACAAGGGCAATGTCCTCAAGGTTGTCCTGTCAGAGAGGACGAGGTGTCAGCTGGGTATCCGCCGCCATGTGCGGCTGACCTGCCAGAACACCGCCGAAGCCAGCCAGATGAGAAGGCAGATGCTGCTGAAAATGAAACTGAAGAAGGTCCACCGGAACAACTACCAGGTGGTAGACTCCTTGCCCGAGGACTCGTCTCAGTGTATATTCAAGTGTTGGTTCTGTGGGCGGCTCTACGAAGACCAGGAAGAGTGGATGAGTCATGGCCAGCGGCACCTGATAGAGGCCACCAGAGACTGGGAAGTCTTGTCTTCTAAGGGAAAATGAACAAATATTGGCCCTGGAAGCAAACTGTCTTCATTTCTCCGGTTAGGGGTCTCTAGATGCAGGCTATAGGAACGGTGATGGTTGTTTCTGATGTCTGCTGTCAGAGCACTGAGTCGTTGTGAGAGGCGCTTGCAGCCCCTGAGATTATACACAAATGGATGCACAGAATTCTGATGGGATGTGAACTTCTCATCAGATTGCCAGTGGGGTCTGAAACCTGTCTGTGTTCAATGTTTATTTTTCTGAGTAGATCCACTTCTATTCAGAGGGTTGAGTTTAGAATGCTTGACACCTGCTCCTTCCACAAATGCTGAATTCCAGCTACCATGTGGAATCAACATTTGCTTTGCTTTTGCTTTAACTCACCTGAATGTTTGGTACCTGATGGAAATCGGATTTTCTACATGTTACTTGGAAGGTTCTAAACACGCGCACACAAAAGGCCTTCCATCCTCTTCCATCTCATTCTCTATTACTTTTAAGTGTTTTGTGTAGCACCGAGTTGTGCTTTTGTTGGACTCTTTTTGAAGAATGATTCCAAGGGTTTGCCTTGCTAGAAGAAAGAAACCATCTTTAAATTGAAATATCTGGATCTGTATCAGCTAAGTAGGGAATGTGCCTTTTAGAGAAAAGAAAATCTTGGGCCTCTCCTTTGCCCCTAATGCTCTAACACCAAGTGGCTGCTTTTAGCTGGCAAGGAGAGTCCCGCCACAGGCAAACCTTGGGAGACTGCCCGGCTGGGCTTTGTAAAGCAGGTTGGCAAGAGGTCTGCTGTGGTTTGATGTCCATGTCTAGCTGACCCCTGGAATCACAGACCTGCTCCTGGGGTCCCTCTGTTCTGAACATGCCTTCCCTCCCCGCTCCAGAAGCTGTGTGTTCCTCATGAAATAACTACAAATTACCACAAAATGAAGGACCACCACTCCCCTCCCCCCCCACCTGCCCCGTTCTACCCCCACCATCTTTATTGCAGGAACACAATCCCTGGTTTCCATTGCCGATAACAATCTGCTTCTAATTTCTATCGGTGGCAGTCACACTTCCTCCTGTTGGCCTTTGCTGGAAGGACTTCCTCTCCCATCTCTCCCACAAGTGTCAGGGCAGTCGCTGTCTCACAAGGCACTGCAGCCACCGTAGCTCCTGAGCCCATTCTCTGCATGTGCAGGCATGGCTTCTCAGGACGACAGATGTCCTGGCAGATGCAGAGCGAGCCTATGTTTACTCCTTGCTTGTCCAGGCTCGGCACTGACGTGCCTGGCTCAGATGGCAGTCACGGGAAGCCTCCCCCCCAGGCTATCACGTATGAAAATGACGTCGAAGGTGATTTCTGCTGTACTGGACCATCAGGGACCCGATTTGTGAAAATTTCAAAAAAAAGTCTTAAGTTCTCCCAAACGTAGATGTGATGGCACTCATTTGAAGTCTGTTCTCATTACAGGTAATCATTTTTTTGTTATAATTCAGTGCACGGATTACGTTGCTTAATAGTTATTGAACTTAAAAATTACATTTTTTTAAATCTCATGTGTACACATATATTTTTTACCATGAAATTGCAAGAGCTAATTTTTCTGATTTCTTGTTTTGTAATGATGTGTGAACTGGGAAAATGTAAAACATTTTTCTATCCTAGAAATCATTTATTTTGGAAGTATTTTTACAGTGGTTTTATCTCATCTTTTGAAAATGAAAGCACAGTAGATGGACCTACATGTATTTATAGATCTATATATAGATGGGTATTGATCAGTATGTTGATCCATATGTAGATCATTACCGATCTATATATGTAGATCTATATATTGATCTAGATCAATACCAATCTGTATATATTGTTCTATATATTGATCTGTAGTGATGTCGATCTATGTCTATAGAGAGAGAGATAGATCTGTATCTATATATATATCTATATATATGAGGGACAGGAAAAGAAACCCCTGTGATAAATTGTGGCGTTTAGCCATTGTACATTTTTCTTTGGTGCTTGGTGGCAAATGAATTTTGTGAGTACCGTTTTGCCACATGACGAATAGAATCCTGAAGTCTGGTCCTCTTGCAGCTATTCTCCTCTCCTGCCCTAAAGGAACCTAAGTTGTGGCGAAGAGGAGAAGGAAGGGCTGCGAGTTCAACTTCTGTCTATACCTCATTGCTTAGCTTTTTCCCGCATGGCAAGGCTGGAGCCGGCCATGGACCAGGTGAGTGTTGGTGTCAACGCAGCAGTCGGCTGCCTTGTCAAGTATTATCTAAAATACAACTTGAATGCCTACGAGGAGCTGAATTTTTGTACGTAGACTACGTCATGAAGTTTAGGGATATTCAGAATGAAACAATTTTTTAAGGAGCTAAAAAGGCTCCTGGGATTCATAAGCGGGAAGAGGCAAAAGCGATTTGTCTTCCCCAGATAACTAGCTGTAGAACATAGCTTGTTGACTGTAGCTGAGCACCATGAAGTAAACCCACAGAGGAAATAGGGCGGAGCTGTGTTGCATATTTGTGTGTTTTTGGTTTTGAAGGCTCTCCAGTCACTACATTTTGTTACTAATACTAATAAAGTTAATTTTTTTAAGTAGATTTTTTTCTTCCGGGGACCAGAAGTGAGATGACCTGGATACATTTATGAGATGGACAGGTAGGCTAATAAAATCTTAAAGCCACTATGTATACTCAGTAGATGACATTTTGTTGAGATTTTATTCCCAGTTCAAAATATTTTATGAGCCCCTATCATGGGTGTATGAGCCCCTATCATGAGTCAAGTACTGTTTGTTGAACTCATTCCTCACCTGGACACAGTGTATTAGCCCTGCGAGTCTCATCCCTCCTCTAGGATTTTTGTAAGCCATCCCAGAAAATGAAGATGTCACAGTGCTCAGCCTTCAGGATGACTTCGAAACCCACGAATGTCTAGAAGAGCAGAAAACAAAACTTTGTCTCATGTGTCAAGCCTTGTTAGAATTCCTGTGCTCGTAGCAGTTTGTGTGTCTGCGGCTCTGGTTTTGAAACACGAATGTATATAGAGGTTGGCATCAATTTTGTTAAATAAAACAACTATGATTCTTTCTGGCCTCTTCATTTCAAGTGGCAGGCGTGGCTGCTCATTCCACGGCCTGTTTTGGGTCGCAGCGCCATTTCTGAAGCCTGCTGAGCCTCACTCGCTGTTGGCTAATGGTGACGTGAGGGCCGTCTGTCTCATGGGCTTTGACTTGAGTTTGTGAGACGTGCTGGTTTGGGTGGCACAAGCCGTGTGCTGCCATGCCTAGGGGCTTCGGGCAGGAGGGGAGGCTTCCCAGCAGCCCGAGGCCCTGGACCCAGCGTGGCTGTCCTAGTGTTCACTGCCCTTGGCCCCAGTGCCACATAAGTGGGGAAGGAGCTTGAAGCCATCTGAGGAATGGCCACGGCCTCTCGTAGTGGGAAGCCAAGGAGTGAACTGGCCTCGAGATGAACCTTGGCAGAGCCTGAGGGAAAGAGCTGGCTTGCTTAGTCAAGTTCAGCCATTTGGCCATTTCGTTTACCACCCGAGTTGAAATGAGTGGTCACCCTCGGTGGGAGCAGGGTAAAGCTGTCCCAGCGGTGGAGAGGAATAAGGCAGTGGAGCCTGCCTTATTCCTTTGGGGTGAAGAACAGGCTGCAAAGGACCGAAGGGCGTCATGTCAGGCAGAGGTGCTCACGGGCCCATGCTGTGTCACTGGGAAGGGCTCAGGAAGGGTCGGTGGCACCTGACCCACCATGTTTCTTGGGGACGGGTGAAGGAACACAGAACTGTGGGCAGGCAGGCCCTTACTTTGCCTTATGGAGTGTCATTTGCTGCTGCAGCTGCCCTCGGTATAAGTTGCCTTCTTTTTTATTGCCAGGCCCTGGGGCTTGAACTCTGGGCCTGGCATTGTCCCTGCGCTTCCCTGCTCAAGGCAAGCGCTCTACCACTTGAGCCGCAGCGCCACTTCCAGCTTTCTTGAGTGGTTTGTTAGAGGTGAGAGTCTCACGGAGTTTTCCTGCCCAGGTTGGCTCAGAACCGCAATCTTTAGTCACAGCTTCCTGAATAGCTCGGCTGACAGGCGGGAGCCAGCCACTGGCACCCGGCTTACCCCACATCACAGCTGGAACAGGATGCCTGGCCAGGAACTCAGACTTTGTTCAGAACAGCACTGTGCAGTAGAGATGAAGTAGCACCCCCTAGAAGAATAAAAGAAAAATCAAGTGGGATTAATATTCCAAGCATTTTAAAGCAGCATAAACTGTAATGAGAACGTACACTTAGAAATCTAAAGACTGGAGAGGGTTGAATTGTCACACTCCTGGTGGCCATGAAAAATGGCATCACCACTTTGGAGAATAGAAAAATGATTTAGAAGTTCAGTGTGTACTTTACATGCTTCAGTTATGATGTTAAGTTTTTGGTCACAGGCAAATAATCCTACTAAAAATCTATCGTGGATAGATGCCTTACCCTGCTTCAATTTTAAGCTAAAAAGTTAGCTCAAGATCCATCAAGTGTCCAGTAATGCTTGGTGATTGACTCCCTTACTGACAGAACAGGACAAGGAAGAATTTCCACATCATGAATATTAATGTCCTTGTCTGAGCTTCATGGGGGAAGCTTGAGATGTATGAACATAAAATAAGGTATGCAGGCTTCATTCAACTGTTTAAAGAATGCTGGTTTTAGCTGGGCTCTGGTGGTTCATTTTGATAATCCTTGTTACACAGGAGGTTGAGATCTGAGGATCATGGTTCAAAGCCAGCCCTGGCAGGAAACTGTGAGAGACTCAACTACGATTAACTACCAGAAAACCAGCAGTGGTGCTATGGCTCAAAGTAGTAGCGCTCTAGCCTTGAGTGAAAGAGCTCAGGGACAGTGCCCAGGCCTCGAGTTCAAACCTCACGACAAAAAAAAAAAAGATGCCAGTTCTTGTAGCTGCACCATTTGCACCATCATGGAGACAGCAGAATAAGGGAGGACTTTGCACAACTGGAACCCCCACCCCCACATTTCCACGTGCAGTCCCACAACCTCCCCAAGGGCTAGTGCAGCACCCCTACCTATGTGCTCAGAAGAACACGTTGACAAGCACTGACAACTCTTACCCCCCTTCTCCCCCACTCCTCCCCCCCCCCCCCCCCGTCATAGGCTCGTGACTGTCATCCATGAGGAAAGAGGCTTGCTGGTCTGGCCTTTGTGAGGTGCTAACAATGTTAGGAATCTAGCAAACGGAAGAAATGGCCATTTCAACATATTAGCAGTACCAAACTTGGGGAGTCTATTTGTGTTTCTGTTGTGGGAAGTCCTTTATTTTTAGTTCTTGATACCTTTGCAAGTATTCATTGGACATTTGAAGGTTCAATTTTCTTTTTTAATTTTTGCCATTCCTGGGGCTTGAACTCAGCACCTAGGCACTGTCGCTGGGCTTCTTTTGCTCAAGGTTAGCGTTGAGCCACAATGCCCCTTTCGTTTTTTTGTTTATGTAAGGAATGGAACCCAGGGCTTCATGCATGCTAGGGAAGAACTCTACCACTAAGCCACAGTCCCAGGCCCAGACATTTGAATTTACTATGAATGACCTGCTGATAACTTATACATTTCATTATTATTTTCAATTTTAGACTCAAAAGTCTAAAGAGAAAAACCTGTTTCCTTTAGCTGATTTTAGAAATCATTCCCTACCTTGAGATCAAAAGATAGTCTTTTCAGTGAAATTTAGCTGTCAGCTAACTTTATAAAAAAGGTGATCATATTACATTTCACGTTAAAAAATAAACTTTATACAATGTACCTTACAGGTTCCCAGTTATATGCCCTGGAGCCATCTTTTCCCCAGGGATCGGGGTCTAGATTTTTTTCTGTATGACAAAGAATTCAGATCAAATCAGACTAGAGTTCTCACAAAAGTCAGTTCCAGGTGCAGTTCCCTCTCCTACCCAACATCCACTGTGAGAGTCCAGGCTTCCGCACATAGCACCGCCTCCATCCCCATCCAGGCCCGCTTCCTGTTGCTGGGAAGCTGGCTGGTGGCTGAGGCTGTAATCATTCTCCTTCAGAGCTGGTGGGGGTAACTCCATGGACTATGGACCCACAGAGGGAGACTGGCTATTGCAGATAGCATGAATCTGTAGTAGTGATCTTGGCTATCCCTAGGCTCTTTTTTTGTGTGCACATTTTTAAGTCAGTGTTCAAGCCCCTGTTGAAATTTTGATTGGAAGAACTTTGAAATCTTAGGTGCAGCCGAGAGTACTTGGCATTATAATGGGAACATGTTATTCCCATTGACTGCACTAGTAGCTGTCAGAGTAGAGACATTTGGTAATCCATTCTCGTTATTTGGAGAGAAATATAATCACCATAATTTAAAAAAAAAAAAAAAAAACCCTGTAAGTTACATAAAAGGCAAGAGGAGGCAAACACTTGTGACTTTCCCATAACGGTTCAGCAAAGTGGCCTAGTGCAATTCAGTATTTGTTTTAAACCTTTTAAAACTCAACCCATTACTTTTTCAGCAGTTTAAGTTTCCATTCAGATTAATGAAATGTAAAATGGGTCTCTTGTATTTTCTACGCAGACAAGAGCAGACAGAAGAGTCACACCATAGCTAAAACCATATTTGCCATAGATTTTTGTAATGTACTCATCTTAAGTCTCTTCCATTTGTAAATTGCTTGGATTTTTTTTTTTGCAGCTATATGTTTAACTTGCTTATTCATCTTCTAAAATCCTTATGTAGTATTACCTGTGATAAACTGCTCTGAATGATCTGTGTGTGTATATTACTGAGCTTGTGGATCTAATCTGTTTTATATTAAGCGATTCTGGTCTACAGTCCTCAGGTGCTGTTCTTAGGCAGTTTCATGATCAAGATTATACTCCTAGAATGAAGTGGTCAACTTCCCTAGTTCTCCATTTCGTGTTGCTTGAAGAGATTCACCATGCCTCTCTAGGGAAGCATCTCTGTCCTGTGTCTTCAACAGAGGACAGTGGACAGCACGGATGTTGAGTTGGAAAATCCCAAATGTTGATTTGCCTTCTATCATAATGATACACCGTTTCATGTTTTCTTAATTTTGCCACTCTATTCTGTTCAATGTCCCTAGAAAAACGTCAACAATAATCATGTCTGATGGCACCTTTCCTGCGCAAATCCATATGCCATTCCAATACAGTACTTGGGGTACTATATTAGAGACATTTTTATTGTTTATAAGATAGTCGGTCCATGGTAGTCTCATGATTGGGGGAGCTGTAAAGCCAAGGCTGGGGCGCTAGAAGATTCAGCATCTATGGCGGGCCCAGTCTCTGAATCTCAGCACCCAGTGTCCTCTCAGGATGAAGCGCAGCTGGCTCTTCAGCCTCTTACAAGGACACGGATTCTATCGAGTAGGGCTTTACCCTTCCAATCTAGTCATCTTCCAGGCCCCACGGATTAGTACCCTGCAGCCGAGTTAGATTTCAAGATATAAAATCTGACACAGGTAGCCAGACTGAAGCCACATCTGAGTTCAGAAACGGCATCCCCTGTCCATTAAATGAGTCAAGAGAAGTGGCAAAGTTCACTGTTTCGGTATGTATCTACTCATCCTAATGTTCTAAAAAACACTGTTTCATCTGGCTGCTGAACAAAGCCAACTGAGCTTACAAAAGCATCATTGTCCTTACATCACTCATGCTTGAAATTCACCCAGTGCGTAGAGATAAAACGCAGGGGTAGAAAGCAGGCAGAACTGGCCATGGAATGGACCTTTGCCAGGTGTTAGAGATCGCGGCTGCTGCTCCTGATCAAGCCTCCAAGTCTTCAGATGTTTTCCAGGGCACAGGACATGTGTTCTGTCCAGCTCGAGTGCCCAGCGCCACCAGAACTCAGCCCACAAGCAACACTGGAACTCATCCACGCTCAGCAGAACTGAGATGTGCAGTACTCACATTTAGGGTTCGGGTGGGGGGAAGCCACTTATACAAAGAACAATCTAGTGTTGGCACTGAGCACACAGAATATTCCAGTAGCAACACACACCTATGAGCTGACATACAGCAAGATAGGTGCAGGCTGGGTTGTCAGCTGCAGCTCAGCATT